CAGAATTTACAATTAAAACATTTCATTTGTTGTTTATTTACAAGAGAGATAAGAGGGGGTCTCTCAAGACACATTATATATACTTGATACAGGCACATACTCACAGTCTTTGCAAAGACACAGTGTCTTAGGGCACTATAGTGGAAGACAAATTAGAACAAATACAGCAAAACACTTAAAATTTCTGTTAGGGGTAAATTTTTAAAATTCAGTTGATTTCCAGCACAAAATAAGATACATTGACTCATATCAAGGTAAGAAAAAATTTGTGCCAGCAGGTACAGCAAATTTGTTCTAGTCTAAAAAATAATTCATAAATTATCATGCTATTGCTATAAATACTGTTCTGGTTATACCACCTTCCACTTCAAACAGATACACACTTAACATAGGAGTGGATATAGTCAAAGAATTTTCAATATACATAAAATGATTCTACTTTACTCAGAGCAAATGACTCTTTTAAAAAAGATATATACTGAACATTACAGTTAACTCAGCCTCTCTTTTACAAACATGCATTCATGAACACCAACACACCTTTCATAAAGAAAGAAAAACTACTTTTACAACAACTTGCACACACAATAACTCACACATACAGGATTCGTTAAGAAAATATGTAAGATCTAAAAGTAGACAACATTGATTTTATTATAACTAACATTTAACTGCCCTCACTTAAATAAAGCTACTGCTGGGTTAAAGGGAGTTAATTGTTTGGGCATTGAGCAAATGGAATGATTTTCAGAGAGCAGTTTATCAATTTTCCATTGCTTATTATCAGAAACTGCCGCTCATTCACTAACAGGTGAATCAGCAATAGTGAGCCTGCAGCCCATTTAGGTGTATCAAATTCACACATCACATACATTATGTGCAAGGGTATTCTTGTTCAGGAAAAATTGTTTCATACTGAAGGATCAACCAGCAACGAAACAATAATACAATCATCCACATTCACTGCAACATTCTAATGAAAATTCTAAGGTCAAAATTTACAACAACAAAAAAAGGGGGGAAAAAAAACTTTCATCCAAGAGACATGTCATTTTTATGTCAACATGATGCCAATAACAAATTGACTGCATGTTGACTTTGTTGTTTTGTGATGGTAACCTTAACATAAACACCAATTATTTTTCAAAAGAAGCAGATTTTTTTTTAATCAAGAAATTCTAGTGCTATTGCTAGAACAATCCTTACATCACAGAGAAATAGTCAGGGTATGGTTTGTGGAATGAACAATAATCTCCAGAAAATGCAAATACTACCATGATTCAAATGATAGTTCACATTACTTTTTCTCATAAATGAAATAGATTCCAATGATAAATCTAACAATATACACTATACATCACAATTACATGACTTCTGCATGATTTATTACTTTGTCATTTAGTTCAGCCTTCCATTGTTTCACTTTGTCTTTTTGATGAGCGTTTGCACCACAAATATACATACTCCACTATCCATGCTAGCAGCCCAAGAGTCATTAACACAGACTGAGCATGGATGAAGATGGGATAGCTTCCTGTGGCATCTCGAATAAGACCTATAAACCAAGACCCATCAAATAACTCATTCAATTCCATTCACATACCACGTAGAAACCCAGCAAATGATTTATACTCACCAAGAATTGGTCCAAGTGAGACAACTGTTATGCCTTTTGCTACCATGTTGAGACCTACAGCAGCTGGCAATTTGTCTAGTGTAACACATTCTGCAACTGTCAGCTGGTAATTGATAAGTGTTGCTCCTCGGCAAAAACCGCAGATGACTAAAGATGTCATGAGTGGAGCCCAAGATGTCTGTTCAGCCATCACTGAAAAGTACAAGTTTATATAAAACCACGTTTAATGCGTCTCCATTTAAAATCAAAGTTTTAGTGGAGCTTATACCTGATCTTGATATAGTCAGAAAAATGCAAGCAACAAAAAACAAAGTTCGTTTTTTGTACTTCACTCTGTCACAAATGGGAGGTAAAATGAGGCGAGCTAGGATATCAGAGAAAGCACTCATACTAAGACAGAGAGCAGCATCGGCTTTGGTATGACCCATATCAACAAGGAAAAATGGTACAACCATTTTGAAGTGCAGTTCTGCTACCCAAAAAAGTGACAATCCTAAAGTTATATTCAAATACGTAGAATCTTTGAGGAGGTCAAGGTCCAAGAAATTTGATACCCGTTTCCAACAAGAAATATGGGTATCCTGATCTTTATCGTTGATATTGTCATGGGAGCCAATAATTGTGTTGTTGTTTTGCATGGATCGATGAAGGTCTTGAGTGGAAGCCTGTAATTATTCAGTGTCATGTAATGAACACAAAGTATATTGGGCAAACATAAGAAAGAAGTGTTAGGCTTGAACTCACTGCTGCAGCTATAGCCAGAAGACTTCCAGTAAGATCCATACTGCTTGCAGATATTATTGAAGCTTTTCGAATTCGCGTTGATGATACAGCTCGAGTCATTCCTGGCATACCAGCACGACTCAACTTTCGTCCTGTTGTCTCCTCAGGTCCCATACTTAACCAAGATACATTACGAGGAATGCCATAATGTGTTCGGGACAATTTCCTTTCATTTGTTACATCAGCTACCTACGGAAGAAATTTAAAAATTATGTTGTGATCTCACGTTGTGTGTTTTCTTTTGTACAATTGTGAGGCAGTGTCGATACAACGCACCGTGCTATTAAAAAAAAATACTTACTGACATGGACACTACTGAAGTGTTTCTTGGTAAACCATGTCTGCCTGCAGGCACTCGCCTTGGCCCGTGATCCTCCATACTGAGAATGGACGCATTACGAGGCATCGCAGGTTGCGAAAGCTTCCGACTTGGGTAGAGCTGAGAAGAAAAATAAAAAGTCAGTACCATTCGTCTCATTTTGGAGGGGACTTCCCTTTTGATTTACTCACATGAGGCTCCGAATCCTCGAGGCTGGCCTTGGAAGTGTCAGTGGGAGCAGCGGTTACAGAGAACTTCCTCTTTGGGTCGGAGAAGATCTCGAACGCCAGGCCACCCCCTTGCGACACGGTGGAGGTCTTCCTCTCGTTGTTCTGCGCGCGGATGGTGAGCTGGTACGCCTCCTCGTCCTCCTCCACGAGGGTGAGCTCGATGCGAGGCCGCGCCAGCAGCGGGATGGCAGACTCTCTGATCATGATGGGTGGCTCGTCCTGCTCGTCGCCGTGGTCCTCGAGGTCAAGGTGGATGTCCTGGTCGCAGGGCTGGACGGGCACGAGGTGCCACTTGGCCGGCTGCAGCAGGAAGGCGCCGGCCAGCCCATTGAGCGCCACGCCGCCGAGGACTAGGAGTGCGCCGCGAAAGCCGAGCTCGTCGAGGAGGTAGCGGACCAGCAGCGGGGCGAGCATGAAGCCGAACGCGGTGCCGGCCATGCTCAGTCCCACGGCCTGGCCGCGCCGCGCCTGGAAGTAGTGCGACAGCGACACGAACGTGGCCGCCGAGGAGAAGCCGACGCCCAGGCCTGCGGGGCAGCGGAGCACGGAGACGGTCAGGAGGTGCACAAAGGACAGACCGAGGCCGAGGGGCGGACACGAGACCCCAACTCACCTATGAGCACCGAGTACGTGGCGATGATGTGCGCCACGCTGTTGGCCGGGACAGTGGCGAGGATGCCGATGGCCACCAGCAGCGCGCCGAAGAACGCAACCTTGCGGTACGAGTATTTTCGGATGAGCGGGCCGGCGAACAGGCCTGTGGACGGAACAGGGACACATTACACACATATTTCACGACGTCAACGTGGAGGCGCGGAGGCTCCGGGGGGAAGTCCCTCGGCCGCCGCCGCGCCGGTCGCTTCCAGGGACGCCAGGGACAGTGCGATAATAAATCTGCAGCGGCAGGGCGAAGGACGCGCGGCGCGCGGGTCACAGTGCACCGGGGACCTCCGGGCGCCACTTCCGGTCCGGGCCACCGGTTCCGAACCAGGAACCGCCAAACCTCCTGCCGAAGAGGACGAGCTCACCTGAGAAGTTGATGAGGGCGTCCTGCGCGCTCACGATGATGGCGGCGCCGGTGGTGGCCACCTCCAGCTTCTTGAGCAGGTCAGCGAACAGCAGCCCGAAGGACGGCTCCAGCGACCGGGTGGCGAGCTGCAACAGAGGGGCTTGTACTGGGACCAGGTCGCCGACGCGGATGTGATCCCCGCAAAGGTAGGCGATGAAGTACTCACGTTGACGATGCCAACCCCGAGGACGACCATCCATCCCCAGCCGCCGTCGGGCGCCCGCATGACGGGCGCCTCCTTGGCGTGCGCCGCCTCCCCGGCGCCGTCCTGGGCGTCCGGGCCGCCGCTCTTGCGGACCGAGCCGCGGGCTGCGGCCGTCATGGTCCAGCGGGGCTCGCGTCACCGTCACCTGCAACAGGAACAAGTGCACGGTGCAGTCAGTCGAGCAGTGCGGGGCGCGGGCGGCGCGGGCGGCGCGGGCGAGAACAAGAGGAGAGCCTCGCCGGTGTGCGAGCGAGTCAAGGTTGCCTCCGTCGCGGTCTTTTTGCGTCACGACGTCGGCCTGGCCCGCGGCTCGCGTCACGGTGGCGGAGGAGGAAAGCGCAGCGCGCGCTCCGAGTGAGCCGCGTCCGCGTCCTGATGGCGGAGCTCATAGGAAGGAAAGCACCACGTCATACGGAGGCCGTGGGCGGGTAGAGGGGAAACTGACGAAGGGGGGAAATGACGACTCTGTCTGGTCCTGCTGTCTCCATACACCATCGTCACCGCCTCTACCCGGTCCGTTACCTCGCGCTGTATTCCGCCTGACAACCAAAACAGCCGAGGACCCCCCCCCCCCCAAATGTACAGTACACATCTTCTTTGCGTCTCCACACGTCTGCTCGCTCCGTCTCCGCTGCCGGTCGGGCATCTATCAATCTGCTCGCCCAGCTGATCAAACCGGGTCGTGAAGCTCTGGAGCCGGTCTGGTCTGGAGCGGGCGGCGCGAGCCGCGGGAGCAGTCTGCGTGGCGTCGGCCGCCCGAGCGAGGTGATTTGTCCATTACACTGAAGAGGAGGCGTCGGCGCTGGCACGCGCGCAATGCCGTGCGAGACGAGGAGGAGCAGGGCCGCCGATACGGGACATGAAGCATCAGCGGAAAGGGTTGAGGTGTGAGGTGGGGTGGGGGCGGCTCCCCACCCACCACCCTCCGCGGCGCGCCTGTCACGGCGCAGGAAACTTCCACGCACGGCGGAAGCGAGGCGACAGCACGTCCCGTCCTGACGGACTCCAGCGCGGTGGTCTTATGTTTCAGCGCGCCACTTTGGGCCCTCACGCCCCAGCACGCCACGCCACGCCCCAGCACAACATTGCATATCGGACCGCCGTTGCGCCACCCCGTCAGTCACGTCTGGTTTTCTGCGGATCAAGTCGGAAGTTTCGCGGGCCTTGACGAGGGGGAGGTGGGGAGCCGAGGAGGGTCCTAGATGCTGTGCTTGCTCGTGTGCCGTGCCGTGGCGTGTTGTGGTGCGGCTCGCTGGCCTCACCACCACCACGTTCTAGCCGCGTGGCCGTGCCGCTCGCCGGCTACTTTCTCGGTAATCACTGGTTACTTGGCGATCAGGTGATCGCGGCGGAGCCCCCGCCGCCCCAGGCCGCCTCGCCCCACTGCGGCCTGTGTGCGGTTTGCGTCAACAAAAGACGGCGACCGCGTGCGAAACGGGCCCAGTTCGAACGCTCTTATCGAGCCAAACGACCCCCATTAGCATTTAGAAAGGTAGTCCGGGCGATATACCACTTTGCGAAAATTTCATTATATGAACCGGGAGCTCCCGAGCCCCCTAAACTGGGCCCCAATCACCCCACAGCGACGACGCATTGAGCCGGCCCGCCAGACGTCCGGGCGGCCACCCAGGGACCTTCGGAAAATCACAAGTGGCCGTCCTCCGTCCTCTCCTTACAACAGCACACATTCTCCGGCCAGCCCCGCCCGCCCCTCGGCGTTAGGGACGGCCCCTCCTCCCGGCTACTCTTGCCACACATGGGTTGCTGACGTGACGGGCGTCGATCAGGACGTCGATGCCCAGGGAAGTTCCACGGAAAGGCGGGGCAGGCCAGCAGTCCGCCGCCGACCCCGTTTTCTGGAGAATAATGACTGGAGAACTGGAGTGTGCGGGTCCGCGCGTCACAGAGGACGCCCAGCTCTTAGACAAAGAAGGCCCAGCTCATCGTCAGCCCAGTACCCACCAGCAGCCGTGGGGGCCGCCACCCGTCAGCTGACCGGCCGTGTCTATTTTTACGCTATTTTGACGGCCGCGAGGGCCTCGTTGACCGCCGCCGGCGTGGCGCTACACTGCCCCACCACTTCCCCCTGCTGCTGCGGGGGGGCACAGCCTAATTGAAGGATCAATTGCCTTGTTCACGCAGAGTACTGCTGTGCGGTCGGGCAGCCGCGCCCTCCCTGTAGACGAACAAACGACATGGTCCAGACCCCACAATGTCTCCGCAAATAATACTA